CTCCAGGAATGCCTGCGATGAAGAAGTTTGTTCAGACCTGCCCAGGCAGCGCCAGCGTTTCCCTCTGACTTGTGCAGCAGTTCAGGCACATCGCCCTCCCCAGTAACCTCGATCCCTGGGGGACGACGCTGACAAGCAGCAGCCAATGCATACCAACAAAAAGCTACCGAATGCATATTAGTTACCCTTGCAGAGACTCAGATTAAACACTGCCATTTAAATGCTACAGTAAAAGTTGATAGATAATGTAAACAAATAGCCATAAATTAAAACTAACAAAAATACTCATTTTGCTTTACTATAATTGTTTAGGGAAATATTTTTTTCCTCTCTCTTTCCTAAGTTTCTAAGAAAAGCTGAGAGTCTTCACTTTTATTTTGGCCATGCCTTTTTTTTGGACGAAGATGTAAAGACCATTCACATAATTTTATGAGGTTAGCCCATGTATAATTTTGATGCTTTATTTTCACCATTTATATCTGACCAGCAGATGAAAGTACAAGACTAGGGACCATCCCATCACACTAGGAAATGACAACCAGAGAGCGCACTGTTTCAAGACCACCACAAACAATAGCAAAGGCAGACGAAAGCTCAGTCATGCTGCATCATGGAAGGACAACTTGAGAGCTCCTCTAATTTATGCCTTTCTGCCCTGGTCATGAGTGGCAAAAAAAAAAAAAAAAAAAAGTAGCACACAGAGAGTAACATGGAGTTTCCTTTGCCAGCTGTCTGGTATGAAAGAAATGTTTCCACAAAAGCGATCCTTTTGAGAACTGTGAAACAAGGGTGAAGACCCTCACCACACCATCAATGTAGCACATCTGCACTGTGCTGCACTGAACACTCCAGCTTCCTGTCTTCAGAAATGAAATCTAACTTGCTACTTTTGAGAACTTCCCTGGTATTTTACACCATCAAGTGATCATACAACACAAAGGTAGTATTAAATAGTAAAGAACTTAAAAATGCAATCATAATGTTGTGGGGAAAACAACTTGCTGAGGAAAGGAAGAAAAATCTCACGGATTTTTCTCACTGATACGGAGAAAACATTGCGACCTAAAATAGGAATGAGTATTTGCACAAATCACAGGCTTCCTGCAGGATCCATAAAGTGAACTATGACACTGAACATGGAACGAGTCATTAGCATGCAATAATGTATTATGAGACAGCACTGTACAAACAATGAACTTCAGTTTACTTCAAACCATTGGAGTATCCTTTACTAAGCATCAGAAATTGCTGGCATGTAGAGTATCTAAAAGGTGATTTAATTATAGAGGGCAGGGAGAGAAAAGCAACCCAAATGCTCCGTTACCTTGCACATAAGAAATGAAGTTTTTCCTTTCTACAAAAGAAGGGACAGTAAGGCTCAGTAAAACAACTACTTACTGGTGTGCAGTATTCCACCATAGGATAGTGCATTTTATGACCTTTTGCAACACGGCCAGAGAAGAAGCAACTTTGGCAGATGTCATAGTTAAAGTGCTTTAAACTTCTGTACCTAAAAGAGGAGGAAAAAAACCCACGGCTTCAGAGCTTTGTATGTGAATGCTTCATGCTTGTCAAGCTTTCTGCACTAGTACGTTTTCTTCCCTGACATGTCACATGGTGTGCAATGCTGGGCAGTGCTTCTTCACCACCGAGGGACAGGTACTGCTGCCTCAGACGTTCATCAAAGATCTGAATCTTCAAAAATTTTTTAACACTGGCCAACAGCAAAGATTTCTACACAACCACTCCTCTTAACACATGAAAGACACCACCATGCTTTTTGTTTCTATAATGTTAATTTCAGTTCTTTTGCTTTTCATCATGATTCCTAACATGGAATGTCCCGAGGAAGTAAAATTCAACTAAGTAATGCCCTCCTCAACAAGTCACTCCAGCAAACGCCTAAGTGCTGCATACAAGGCAGGAATTTGTTTCTGTCCTTCCTAGCACCTCTATCAAAACAATTTTCCTGTACGGCATTCCATCCATGCAAAACTCTGAATGCACTTTCAGGCCATTATTTAATCTCATCAGCTCTATGAGGCAGCTAACTGTTGTATCTGCTATGCTGAAGTGCCTAAAAGAGCCGGAGGCATAAGGGTTGTCCTGTTGCAAATACGCGAAGCAGTTCAGTCACAATGACCTCAAAAGAACATTGTTTTACATGTACTGAGGCACACAATATTAGCTTTCTAAAAGCCTTCCCATAGAGTATTTTTTTGTCAAGTGTGTACACAGGGTCTCAATGACTTGCAAAGCCAGAGAGAAAATCTGCAACAGACAGATTTGACTATCACAATAATAGATCTGTTATATAAATTCAAGAGCCAGATTAGATCAGACAAGTAAAATTAGACACAAACAGAGAGCTCCAGTGTCAGCTCCCCGACTTCCCAATGCTCACTACAGACTATCCATTCACTTGCCATCCTTTGATTTTCGAAGTGCTGCATTTTTCAATTCCACCTACTTGTCTTTGGCTGTTTATACAAAACCGTATAAGTAATCCAGTAGTTTCATAAACCGTATCTGGCAACGGGCAAAATTAGACTTTGTGGATGCGTTGAACTACTCTCATCTCATCCCTAGCTTTTCCTCAGTAATATTTATCAATTCCCAGTTAAGATATTCAAGGCAAATAAAAGCAGAAGAATTTAGATGATTAGAGGAACAGCCTCACTGAAGAAAAGCTCAGATTCAAAACAAAGCAATATCTTCATTATTTTCCCTGTTTCCCACTGCCTGTGAAATTGCATAGGAGAAAGCACTGCCACACTACAGGCATGAAAGCAACATTTATAGTCTCCCAGGTTAGAGCAAAATGATGGCTTTTCTATGTGGTACTGCTTGCTGGTGTTGTCTATTTGGGTTTTAGAAAGAAAATTACAGAAAGCTCTTTGTAAACAACATGATACCATAGAAGGAGAAATGCCAATGGTAAAAGAAGATCGTGCATAAAAAGGACAGAAACCATACAAAGCAGCTATTGCGAAGCAGAGTGATAAAACAAGCCTAGGCATAATTGAAAGTGAGTATTTACTTAGCCGTTAAGTGGATTCTCAACAGGCATACCAACACATAGCCATTTTACAACACAGTGACTTATTCATTGCCATAGTAACCATAGTGTCGATCCAGATGTTTAAATAGACCAGCAACATTTCTCCCACTCCAGGTTAATCTTCCACCAGCTATACTCCTTCTCTGAGAAACGCACATGTAGCTTTACATGTCTGCGAATTTTCAAGGCGCTTCGTTGCTTTGTACCGTGACAGAAAGCAATTCATTAGGATCCAATTCAGAAAATGTAACTGCATGTATAGGACAGACTGAATGTAAAGCAAATCATATTAGTTGTGCAATCTACCAATACTTTGGTTGAGGCACGGAAGGGCTGCAGGCAAGAGCAGGACAGAGAGGAAGGGCCATATCTTAACTGATAGATGATTTTTGTTCTCTTCAACTCTCACATCACTGTACCCAGTCTAGGTGTCACTCTCCCTCGTGCCCTGTCACAATTATTTTTTCTCTGAACAACACGCATAAAATCAAGCACACGACTGGCCTGGAAACAAGCAGCGCTCTTGATCCACCAAGCAGCAGTACATAGGGAAAGGGAGTGAGCTTGTACCTGAATCCAATAATTGGACACTCCTTGCAGATGTTACACTTCGCCTGGTGTTTGGCAGTCTCAGCAGCAGCCACCCTGTGCAAGACAGGCAGCCACACCATGGACTGTGGTTCCAGCCTCATCCAGTCCAGGAAGAGGGCTGCTTCAATCTCCGGTTTGTTGTTGGCCTGTAACACAGAGGGAAGAAAGACAGGGGCTGAGCACAAGTGATATGTCTACTACCAGCTAATTAACAGTTCAAGCTGTTCGTTTCCTGCCTACTCTGTATCTTTTCCCTGAATATACTCCAGCTTTTCCCCCTGTTCAGCCATTCATCAGAACAACAACAACAAACACCAACCCCAAAAAACACCAACAACCAACAAATTCCAGGATCCTGCCTTCAAGCCAGGAACTGAGCACTATTATTAACATTTCAAATCTCTCTCTCATTCCCTATTACAATAGACAGCACTACCATGTACTCTGTCACAGAGAAAATCATCCACTTACAGGATCACCTTTGATGCCTGATCTCATGTTTCCCATCTCTCTTACCTGAGCTTCCATAGCACTGCTTCTCACCTATTTTAAAAACAGTTTATGTTATCCAAGCCCTAAAAACTGAACATCTTTTGATCAAAATTCCTTTCTCTTTAACGTCCTTCATTATCATACTGACCTTTCTTCTAAAAGCACACATCAGGAAATCATTCAAACCGCTTCTCAAGCCTGTTGTTGAACATGTAACCTCTCTGCCTCCTTAAATGCCTCAAAATCCCTCTTCGCACCATATCATCTCTAAATTTCCTGTCATTGCCTGCAAACACAATACAGCTTTGTCCCACAGAATAGGATCAATTTAGCCTCATATTCCACTACCTCCCACTTTCACCTCTTTGCCAGCAGCAAAAGAGCTTATGAAAACTTCCTGGCGCTCCTGTTCCTCTGCCGCCTTCCCATCACATCCTAACCACTATGATTATTTCACTTCTCTCTTCTATGGTAACTTCGAGTCAGCTCAGTTACAGAGCTGAATCCCACTGCAGCAGGCACCGTGCAAACACCAAAAAACGATGTATCACCCCTACCGGGCAGCACCTACAGCATGGAAAAAGAAACAGCAAAGAGACGAGAAACACAAGGCAACGGGGGACAACAGCGACCTAGCTACACAGGTAGAGGTCACACCGTACCAGCAGGCTAGCCACCGCAAAGAACAGTGCAGAATAAAGGCAAAGAGCCTCAAAAGGGTTTTTAAGGAAAACAGTGAACTGACGGAGGCCGTGTTTCTGGGGAATGTCCCTCTGGCGTACAGGGTGGTGCAGAGCCAGCACAAAACTGGTTGTCTGAGAACCTGGGAGGTGGTTTCAGTGCTGAAGGTGAGGCGATGGGTCAGGTGGAAATAGCAAAGGGCTCTGGCGGGGAGGACGGCAGCGAGGAGGACAGGTCCGCACAGGGAACAGCCCAAGCGATGAAGTGGGATACCATCCCGCTCCATTTCTCTAAACCATCGCTACGTGCTAATTCAAATTCCTGGAGACATTTCCTTCCATGCTACCCAACAGAAACAGCATATTTATGGGCTGAATATATTTAAATCCTCTGTTTGCCTTTTTCTCTGGGGTTTCAAATACAGCCCTCTGTGGGCCAGTCTTTTATATTTCAAACTTCACAAGGCAGACTGTCTTCCTTTGTGGTTCCAAACCTATTTGAAGCATTTAAATAAATAATAAGCATTAATGTATCATGTACATGGACCAAGACGAATAGGGGATTGAGTGCTGATTTTTTTTATGCTTGCTCTCAGTTACTTTGCCAGTTTCTCATGAAATTTGAGTTTAGTATAACCTAGCTAAAACCTTATTCAAATAAAAATGCTAGCAATGAATTTGGAGAAAAAAATATCACAACCGATCTAAAGGAGAGAGTGCTATAGGGAAAAAAAACAATTAGTTGTGCGGTTTTTTTTTAAAGCTAACACTGTTTATAATCTTGACAAACAAATTAACTGATCAATACTTGAAGACTGAGAAAAATGCAAAGTCTCTTAGACAGAACCCCTGGCCACAAGAAAGATGTGGACCTCCGCCCTGCCCCCCAAATATCTCCAGAATAATGCATTGCATTAAAATTGACTTAAAATGCTGCAGTAGTACGTTGGTTAATTAGAAACAAAGAGATTTTTGGTCAGGGCTTTCTTCTTGAGAAGCTAGTTTGGGAAACCATCTAAAGACTCCTGTGACTGCATTTAAGATCCACATATATGGATTTCTAGTACAGTCACATACATCCTTTTTGGATGTTTGGTGAAAAAGCACCAAACTGCAACATATCTACATTTATTCAGATGAAGTCCCTCACAATTTAATATTCACTACAGGTCTTATATGAAATGGAATAACCTCTTTCTTCAAACACTGAAATATTTCTGAAGACTTCTGCATTAAATCCTACTCCTCTGTTTTTTCAGGCAGCTACAGAATTTAGGAACCTCTCCAAAGAAAAAAAAGAGAGAAAATCAAAACTACAATAAAGTCCAGCCAACACTGGCAACAGAATTTGTTCGGAACAGTGGATACTGCCTTCAGCTGCAGGACATCAGTGAATTCAACAGGATTAAATTAATTCTAGAACTCTCCTAAGAGAAAGGCATATTTATAAAATATGATCACCTGTATGTCCATTTTTCAGCTAGCAGCCAGGGCAGTAAAGGGGCTGGGGAGAGACTTTCTGTGGCTCACTCAAGTGAGCCAGCATCAGCCAGGAACTACACTGGCAAACCATTACCCTGCCTAGCAGACTACACTTTCTATAAAGAGGTCCTCTAAGCCTCAAAAAAATTTTAATAGGATGTCTTTAATATCCCATTTCTAATAGAAAAACATGAAGTGTACGGAAATGCTGCAGTGCAAGCTGCAGTCAGAATAAGAATGAGCTGCTCAAGGCACCGCTCTCCACTTGTAGCTGCTTTAAATTTGCAGTGAAAATGCTGCAGCGATGAAAGACTTTCTGTAACATCCAGAGATCTATTTTAATTTTGCAGTCACTGGCGATTGCCAGCAGTCCCAATAGCTGCCTACCCAGAGCTCCACACGCTTGCTGTACAAAACCTGTGCTCAGAGAGATTAGGTGCATTAAAATGTATCAGAACAGGTTCCGAATTATATTACATGAAGATTTAAAGCCACGTGGAGAAAAGCTGGTCAGGGTCAGACAGTATAGGACAGACCTTGACTGTTCCCTGAGCTGCTATTATGATTTTTTTAATAATCTCTAAATCCGGTAAAGGCAGCAGCTGAAGATTTTACATAAGGGAAAAAGTCTGAATTCATACAGTTCGTATCTGAACCAACAAGATCAAGCTGTAAAGAATATTAATGGTTCTTCTCTTGAACACATTTCTGTGCAACTCCCAATTTTTATGCTAATAACAGAGTGAATCATAAAGTAAAATTCATAAAGCCCTTTCCAGCTTACAAGTAACAATTTGTTATGGGGGACATTCAAATTCATTATGTTCCAGACATCTGTTTTTCAGTATTTATTTTGCAGAAACAATGGGGGAACAAGAAGTTGGGTGGTGCTAGCATCTTTATGCAATACTTCGGAGTTGAATTTTTTTGGGTTTTTCCCCCCTCTTCTTCCAGCTAGTAGTTTAAAAAATATTCTATGCTATATTAACTTTATCTATCCATAATATGAAATATGCTTAAAAAGTCATGATGTTACATGAGCGATGTGATATGTTTTTGGACAGAGTCAGACAATATAGCACAAATTTCTGATAACATTTTTGATGAGCTATATTCTGTTTAGCTGCAGTGTAGCAAATTAATTGGAAATAAATTAACATTGTTAATTTAATGGTGTTTTCCATCCAGGATGGAAAGCTTTATGTTGGTCTAAGTAAGTATTAGTTTGGACAAAATGAAAACGGGGAATGGGATTCTTGTCACTTGCTGAAGTTTAAAAATGCAGAGCAAACCACGAACAGCAGCCCTGTCTCCCAGGAGTCAGACCAAACCCTGCTCAACCTTGTCTTCCACTCTTGAATGGCTTCCCCAATACGTTCATGTTCTCTCCCCTTCCAAGCTGGTAAGGCGGTCAAGAATTTATTATTTCCAAGACAAGTGCTATTTCATGGTCAAGAAAGAGAGGATTATTATAAAGGTAACTTTGGGTGACACAAACTACGGAAATCTGCCTTGAACCTTGGAGCAAATGCTTAAGATCATTACTTTGACCCCTTGCATTACACTTGACTGCATTGACTACTCCAGTCAATGTTTTTAGTGTTGTGGCAAAAAGTAATAAAATAAAAAACCATGAACCCAGAAGTGAATTAGTGCACAGTTTTATATCATCCACACTTGAAAAACACCATCTTCCTATTCCCCATACACTAAACCATTTTAAAATAGCTCTGTAAAGCAGTTCACTTGTAGGACTCTTCAAGAGTGCCTCCCAAAGTCAGGCACAGGTTCACAAAACCCTGCTGAAATAAAACCAGAACTGCTGTTTTATGACATTTACAACATAGCAGCTTGAGGAAGGATTTGCTAGTTCCCCTCAGGCCAGCTCTCCCCTGTCAGAGCCAAAAGCAGAAGAAATATCCTATGAATAGAAACAAGGGCTGCCTGAATCTCTCAAAAGAGATCGAGTCCCTCAACAGTAACACTGCATTTTGCATGTTATTTTCATATAGACCGCTATATATCTATACATAGTTATTTGTACACAGTAGTGATATTCCCTAACTGTTAAAAAAAAAAAAAACCAAACCAAAACCCCGAACCCACCCCTCACAAAACAACTGCCCAACCAATTCAAATCACAGCATTTATGGCCAAAGTCACTATCAGGGTCCTGGCCCAGGATTTGCAATACCCAAACTCCACCTAATAAGACTAACAGGCCCCTACTTTGGCTTTTATTTGTCTGAGTAAATATACTGGATCTGGACACAGTTAAGTGGTTGTAAAAACCAGGCTGATCTTGCCTGATCACTGATCAAGTGAAAACCTAGAAATGAAGACTATACAACACAGAATATTAAAATATTTTCCTCTGTCAAAGTGAAATGAAACAAGAAGGTTTAAAATACAGATATGAATTAACTGTACATATTTTACTACTCCTTAGCTTCACCTGTACTGTTTTTTCATATCAAGTACTCTACTTCAAGTACACCCTTGGAAGAAAGCATACTTAAAATAGTTTATAGCAGAGAACAAAATATCCAACATTTTATTGAGAAACAGCAGGAGACATTTTCATCCGAGCTGCATTCTGGTTTTGCATCACATTTCTTAAATGTCCCAATGTCACAGTAACCCATCCAAGGCAGTGATGTGAACTCCTAGGTCCTATTTACACCATACAAGGAAAGCATATTAATAATTTTCCACTGTGATTAAAACACAGCGCTCCTGTCCTTTAGTCCGTAACAATTCCCTATCCCGTTTACTTAAAAAAATGTACCCATCACAGATCTAAAAGGAGTGCTTTCACACTGCAGTAATACTGAATTCACTCATTTTTTCATAGATCTATAGATTGCTTTGATGCTGTCTGAGCCCAGGCAGAACTATATAGTCTTCAAACGGTCATCAGACCAAGCTCTTCGCTCTCACTTAAGAACATTTTTTTTCTTTAAAATCTGAAAGCAGAAATTACATCCCCCTGCACCAGCTAGGAAAGGTGAGTCCCATAACATCCTTTTTCTCCCAACAATTACTATCAGCACCTTTCCATATATGACTAAAACTATGAAAAGCAAGTGTGGGTGCTGGGGGGATGTAGAGTAACAGGGCAGTGGCAGCAGCCGCCCGCGGTAAGGGAGCGGACAGACTGCTGCCAACAGCAGGGCTGGGAAGCCTGCCCTCCCCAACCCTCATTCCCAAGGACTCGCACTTCAAACCAAAAAGCAGGAGAGATTTCCCCTGTTATCGCCGGGAACAGTAAACATCCCTTTTTTTTCCTGCTGTTGTGCAGACAGACAAGGCCGTTGCCAGGGCACCTAACCTAAGTGGGCTGGGGGAGCGGTTTCTGAAGCGTGCATTTGTGGCAGACTCTGACATGACTGCAATTTATTGCTGGCTTATCGTCACCAGAAAGGAAAAAAAAAAAAAAAAAAAAAAAGAAAGGAAAAAAAAAACCACTAAAGAAAAAGCATTCCTCACCATGGGCATACAAAGGAAGACTTAATCTAGTTTCCACACAGTAATGTAAACTATGAATGCTCACACTATTTTTAAAAATTTAATTATCTCACTTAAGCAAAAGGAGGCCACCGGGAGCCCTGTGCAATCCCCTCTCGGCCATCCAGCTCCTCCGGACGCTCAGTTTCCCAGGCTGCTCCCTGCTCCCACCCCAGCCTGAGGACACTCCACACCACCGTCTTCTGCCAAAAGGATCCCTCTGTACTCCTCTCCTTTCTCCTGGAAAAGTCTTATTTCTTCCCCCATCTCCACTCCTGGCTGCTCCTTTCTTTCATTCCTCATCCTACCCGCCCTTCTGTTTCCTTCATCACTATTATTTCTACTACCGAAATTACCATTGTTCCCTAAGGGTGGCCCTTTTTTCCCTGCTCCTTAGTTCCTTCTCCCTCCCCTCCATCAGGGCTCTCCCAGTGCTTGGATTTCTGCTCCTCTCCCTAGGGCTCCACCCCCCCCTATTTTTGTATTTCCCCTCCTCAGTTGAGCCTCCCTCCCCCTTTCTGGTCCTCCTAGAAGATCATCTGTTCTGCTGCAACCCTGGTCAGAAACCACCCTCCCACTCTGCAAGTTAAAGTGAAGCTTCACCTGGAGGAAAAAGAGAGGATTAAATTCCTCTTACTGCAGGTAAGAAGAAAATCTATTTTTCAGTGCAGGTTAAGAGAAGGAAACCTCTGGTCTTCCACTGTTGTGATTTATGAACATGTCAAAGGTCGTGCCCAGCTGTGCTCGGGCTGTTTCTAGAAATGCCAGCAATTGGATGCGGTACAGCATTCAGCCCGCTGTCATGTCTTCATTTGTAATGACGATGTTGCTAACTCATTTTATTAAAATAAACATTTATTCGAAGGTCTTCTTCCTACTTTATAAAAATTGGTTTTGTGTATTCCATCACTATGAATTATATTTTTTTTCGTAATATAAACACACAAAACGTCAGCCCCCTTTCAAAAAAACCCGTTTTTGTTAGATTCCAAGGTTGCTTTCCTTATCAGTTTTTCAACAGTGTTCTAAGTGCTGTTGCCTTTCACTTGGGAAAATGATAGGATCCAGCAAGTCCTAATTTCCAAGGAAGGTCATTTGCACAAACGAGCTTTTGACCATGGATTTGCTGCAGCATCATTTTGTGTTGGTCTCACTTGAAAGCCCAACATGGAACTTGAGGCCTGAAAGCCACCGCAGGGTCTAACCCAGCTACCAAAGTTGCCATGCATACATAGTTTATCAGCATGGGTTATCCACCCAGGCTATGGCCCTATAAAACATTAATTTGGAAATGGCATCAAATACAGACTACAATTATAAAAGGTCAAGACGTGAATGGGAAATGAGAAAACATGAATCTAGAATTAACCTGACAAAAGGAGTTTAGAAAGTACGGAAAGGAAACGTCCCATCACAACTGAAGTTTCTGGTGATTTTAGAATTGGATTCTTTCCATAGTCACTGTGTGTAAGATGACTATTTCCAAGCATTAATATTCATTGAAAAAAACTTGCTGTGTTTTGCTTACTACAGAACTGAAACTACTACATAATGAAACTTGAGGAGCAGGCAAAAAAGCAAACAACTTCCCCCGCCCCGAATCAAACAAAAAATCCCCCAGGGACAGTTGGGGGATGGGAAAAAAGCCTTTCTTCCATTGTAATGTAGAAGATGCATTGCGAGTTAATCACAGACCATACATTACCTCCCCTCCTCTACCTTTTCATTAAGCAGCTGTCTTCATCTTGTGCATTCTGCTGGTGGTGAGGATAAGGATGAATAATAATTCCCTTAACTCTCCTCCCCAGATTAAATAATTCACAAGTTCAAAAAAGAACCTCCAGTTTGCTGTGTATTCCTCAACAGACAGGACAGGAATTCTTTCAGTACTCTTTAAAGAAAACTGGCATTACCCATTCAAGCAGTGCAAGGAGCTCACCGGGCGCTCCTCGCCCCTAGACAGCACTGCAGGCAGTCGCTCCGTTCCTATGGCTCCCCTGGGTACCTGGCTGTCACTGGTACATATATGGCCAAAATTTAGAATAACCATTGCTGTTCACCGATATGGCAGCAATAAATGGTGATCTACTGCTGGCAACAGAAAATTGTAAAACCAGGAGCTGCTGTAACAAAGACTTAAACTGCTTGCAGGGTTCAGTTACAATACAAGCCTTCATGACAGTTATTTGCTGTCTGGATAACAGCATAATCTGGGCTTCTTTCACCACGGCCAGAGAAACGGGCTAATTCAAATATGTCTTGTCAAAGGAACGGTTTACTACACCAATGAACACCACCATTAAACGACTCTCCGTACCCTAATCCTTCTTCCAGATTTTTAATCCTCTTCGGAACGGACAGGCTACCTCGACACCAAATGCAAATCAGAACATGAACAGCGGGCAAACATGAACTTACGAACTGGAAGCAGCTTCTGACGCTCGGCTCGATATTGCTGCCCCCGAAGGAGGCCACTTCCCCCAGCTGCCGAGGGATCTGGATGGAGTCGTGCAGGAGGAGCCCTAGCCGGCGCTGGTCACAGAAGCCGGTGGAGCTTGCCACTTGCTTGAACAGGTCTGGAGGAAGGAAAAGGACACGCGTGCTAAAGCATCACAACCGGGATACGGCAAACAGTGCGGAAGTTTGCATCGTTTCAAAGGCTCACAAGTGCAGTCAGCAGCCTTGGCGGACGTGAATACAAATGCGCCTACAGTTTGGCTGCTTCTCTTCCCATAAACGCTGGGGTTTCTTTCTGTTAAATAAGCAGGCTAGTGATAATTTTTAATAGCATTATTGGCTTGTACCTGGGAAGAAAGGCCATTATAACACAGCACCTGTGGCATTACTGATAATAGCAGCTGTGATTCTATAACACAGCTCACTAAACAGCAGGATCTTTGAGCCACAACATAAATGTTTTAAAAATATCGTTTAACAGTAAAATAACCTTATACAACGTACAGCACATTTTCAAGTCTTAGCAATCGAATGTACAGCTCAGAGAATCCACTTCTCTTTCAGACAAGTTGAACTGAAAACCAAGAGCTCACTAACTTCGATATATCATAATCTTATAATCCAAGAGTATTTCTAAAATGAAAGAAAAACATTACAGTACGACAAAACGTGCCATCCACTGGGAATGTTAATATCATATTAACCTTTCACTGCTGAAGTGAAATGTCACTTGAAGCCATGTTCTGTTACTGCATCATTCTAGAAAAGAATCCTTACAGGACAGAATTATTAAAATCCTTTCATAAGCTCAATTTAATCGAATGGGAATTACTTATACTACACATACATTAAGGAGGTTTTAGAGTTCATAATAACAAGAAAAATCAGGTTAGCATTAACTGAAATATTTATTTGGTAATATCCCTGTTGACAATACATGACATGAATAAATTCTCCTTACTTTTCAAAAAGTTTAAAAAAAAAAAAAAAAGAGTGAGAGACCATTAGAATAAAATAATGCTCTAGCACAACCAACTCTGCTTTGCTGCACAAATGAGAGAAAAAATTTTAAGGGGTGCAACTCATTGCATACTTGCAGCAATACTAACAGCAACTGCGCTATGACTTTGGCATGGATGGTGAAGCCAGAGCACAGCTTGGCAGGCAGAATTCCTTCCTCTCCCACAAACAATTCAGCTTTCAATTTCCCCATCATTAAAACATTAAGTGTTCTACAAACTTAAAAGGGGGGTTATGTATTACCATGCACACATACTAGAGGAGACTACAAAATATGAATAAATGTTTTCCTTTATCAGTTTGATAATCCACAATGAAGTATCATTTTGAAAAATATCTGTACTGAGTAATTTTCTTAAAAGATTTTCTGAACACTTTTTCACAACACCCACATGAAACATCTAGAGATCTGAACTGTGACATTCATAGTGATTGCCCTAAAATCTGATCCAATTATACATAGTCAGGCACAGACTCCGCTGTTGGAACTCTGTTTTCTCTTTAGCGTTCTTCAACTTTCATTAGTAGAATTATTGAATAATAACAATTGATGAGAAACTGCTATGGTATTGGGTCAAATCCTAGAGGTTGTTTTTTTAGTGTTTTTTTTTTACATGCATGAATGAGTGATACTGGTTAATTTAACCAGAAAGTTACTCTTGAGAACTCCTCTTTAAGTAGATCTTTTCTGGATCCGAGCCTCACTAATGAACTGATTCATTAGCCAGGTAAAACTAAAACTTCAAGTGGAATTTTTTCAAGTATTTCAGGATTTGGTCTATTGAAATATGCAAAATTTGCATACTTTTAATGTTTGTTTAAAGACAGCAACTATATTTAAGCACAATGTACATAATAAGACCCTGACCACATTGTGGAAAACATTTAAAAAAAAAATATTTTAAAATGGTGTAATGCAAGATGTCCTGTAGACATGCATTTTTGTGTATGAAAGTGCGTCTCCAAAAGTGGGGTGCATCCACCACAGGGGGTGCGCAGGACAATCCGCTGGGGTGCGGTAAGAAAATATTTTTTGTTCTGATAATAAATTTAAAAAAAAAAAAAAGTGTTTATTTCATCTTTATCTCATGCCTTTTTAATTCCTATTTTTGTGTATGTTTTATAATGTGCACTGTATATTAGTACAGTAGTACATGTATATAATTTATAAATAAATATACATTTATTGGGGGTGCACACTCAAAAATGTTTTACCAGTAAGGGTGCATGATCAAAAAAGTTTGGGGACCACTGTGCTAAACTACCTAAAACCATACTGAACAAGTATCTTAAAAGTACAAGGTGGAGCAAATTAACACACTTTGCAGCTGCGCTATCTAAAAGAATGTCTCTGTATGCTACTGAAATGTTTATGCAATAAATAGGAGGAATGAAAACAGAATATAAACATAAACTAAAACCAAAAGAATTACATTGACTTACATCTATATTTATCTTCCAGGTGTGCTTTACAAAGGGATACAACACCGGTTTTGAAAGATAAGACACGGATCCTTCCTGTTCGACCCCTAATGAAGAAGAAACATTGGCTGATAATATGATCCATTCATTTCATAATTTGTTTACTATAAGGAAATTCACCGCAGTGCCATAGCCATCACAAATGAAGTCCCACGCAGAACCATCTTGCACAGCACATGCTGGCCCATTATTAGATAAGCTAGAAATAAAATATAAAATATGGTTGTGGCTCCACAGGCGTAGCTGAATCAGATTGTGCCACTGTATCAATTCAACCAGAAACAGTCTCATTCAGAAACAATTACTCATCTCCTTTTTTATGACAAAAGTGAGAGTATAGAGTCTTTATGCTTATTTGAAAAGGCTTCTCTATGAACTGCTGCTATTCTCAAGGAAGATGAGGTCCCTGATGGAACAGGAAACCATCCCTTTTGCCAAAGACAATATAACTTCACTTTAATTAGAAATGCAACGCAGCAGTTGTTTTCAGAAAGTCTTTGCGTGCTGTCTGTCAGCCCTGCCCTGACTTGTTTGAGAAGGAGCCAGGCATGAAAAAGTGGCCTCTGCCAGCAGCGTGCAGCCACAGAGGCACTTGTAAGACATTCAGGTGACTGCTGAAGCTTCCCTAGAAATCACGAGAAGGCAGGCAGGCTGCACAGTCATGCCATTAGCAACACAGTGCGGTTTCTCAGCTCCTCCTGGCAGCACTCACACCTGTCCTGCGCAGTGCCTAGGGGCTGGTATGCACATCCGTCCCCGTGCTGCCTCTGGTCAGCCTTCCTCTCACGCTCACTCTTGCCTTGTGACCTGCCCGCCCTATTACTTTTGCTTTTTAATGTGACTGTGAGAAGAGCATCCTCCTCTGCGCTGCAGGCGACGCAACGACAAGCCTTCACATCTTCTCTCAGTCATCTGGTTTAGCTCAATTTACTTCCAGTTGCTGGCTTCTGATAGCATTTCAAATATGTAACACCTATTGCAGATGAAGACATATACAACACAGGAAGCTAATGCCTAAAAATGACATTTTTGAAGTAGAGCCTTATCAATAGTTTTGAAGCATCACCAGTAAGAACACCAGTGGAAATAAGGTAAATCATGTTCAGGCATGCCATAGTCATGCATGAGGCCACACTGTTTGGCAAAGATGCATATTGTCTTTTTAATCCTACGAAAGTGTTGTAGGAGCCAGTGGTGCTCATTTACCCACGCATCTCCCCTGCAAACCCTATAAAAGGTGCAGACAGAAAGTGATGGACAAAGCAGAATTTAGAATTTGCAACCTTTTACCAAAGAATCTTGTTTTTTCATCAGGAATAAGCATTTGTTGTTTACCTCTGCTTTCCATACTACACTCCTCTTACTCCTCTCCCTGAAATCTTTTCCAAATTAATTATCATCTATGCCCTGAGAAACTCCTGCTGATGAATACCAGGCTCATGCAAATTATACAAGAGAAGAATGTAGAATGATGATTTCCCTGCAAGGCATATCAAATTGAAACTTGCACAAATCGTGAGTTGTTCAGTTCATTCTCCTCTCCTCCCAAGTCAAACCAATAATTTAGCATGCTACTGCAAATGAGCATGAGTGACTGATCAATTAAAACAAATCTGAAACGTGTTGGATTTGCAGAGCTGTGCCCATAATTAGATCAGTCATTGACTGTGAATTTGATTAATATCTTTACAAATGACAGTTTTCAATTATAAGAAAAGTAAAGATTCAGTACATTTAATTAAATGTCTCCAGTACTGCTATGCACTTCGGTTGATCTCTGCCTATTAAGTTTACAATGAAAACTAAACACATGTAACCCCAAGGTCACCTCTCTTAGCAGCATAATTCAAACCTGAATTTCAGCAAAATAGCTACAAGCTTTTCTCACACATGAAGCACCTCTCTGTTTGTGTCCTGCAATATGCAGCTCCCTAGTATACCTAGCGAATTGCCGGGAGGCAGCCAATTATAATTTCTAATGTTGTACTTTCAGCACAGTGCAACATAAAGAAAACTAGACTGGACACGGAAAATCTAAACTGGACGGTCCAGCTTAGGAGCAGCCTGTGGAACAACCTTTAGTTCCCTCTCTGCCTCTAGTATGGCTGATCTGGATTAACATCCCTAGCACATCTTTTTTTGGTTTTCGCTAATTGAGTATCTTCGTTTACATGTTATTTATAGTTGATGATAATTCAGAAGTGGATCAGAGTTCTGTGAAAGCCAAAGCAGGTTAAAGAAATAAAAGCTGGCTCTTAAATGCGTATTAGCCCCATTCCCTACTAACAGTACACTACACAAAAATATAATGTATCTGGGTAATCCACTTCACAGGAGATTGCAGCTGCTGCAGAGGATGTTATAGGCAACTGGCTTATCGGAGGTGATCCTACAGGAATAGATTCTGTACACATCTTTTTTTGGGTAGGTGATCATTGAAGCTTCAGTGCTATGATAAAGGGTGGATGGAAGAACAATGTTATTGCACTTCAATACAGTTCAAAATGTCAATGGAAATACAATAATTGACCCATGTCCTTCCATTTCTATACATAAATGTTTATTCTGTCACAGTAATGAGTGTGTCTGGCTGAAGGTGGCTGATAAGAAGCTTAAAAACACAAATAAAGACTTCCACTGACATTTTTTTTCCACTAAATTCAACCAACACAAAAATAATGGCTTATTCTAAAATAAGCTTACAAACTAATTTACTCTGTTGTATTTATACTTGCAGGTACACTTTTTAAAATTAAATTTTAGATGAAGTACTGCTCAAATCTCCTGACTGCTAAGGGTTGTAAGCATATTAGATTAGAGATGAACCTCTTCCATCTTTGAACAAGAATTACAGATTCTATAGAAGCTATAGAAAATGTACCGCTCTGAAAAGCTTTAACATTCGGAAGTACAAGACACGTGCAAGAGTCTATATGACGGTGTTCGTACTGTTGCTTCTTGACAATTCTCTTGCATTTCTTTACCTAAATAAATTAAAAAAGCAATGCAAATCCATGACCTACTGAGGACATGCAGTCCCAGAATTGCTCTGAACACAGAAATCTGTTAAAAAAGTTCTGTTTTCCAGCTCTCTCACTGGTTAGTTTAATAAAGCTAGGAATGTAAGCCTAACCAAGGGCTGTATTGATTCAGCTAAATGCAGCCATTAAACCATTAGGTTTATTAAACTTTTACTTCAACTACCGTTTTTTTCAGTTTCACGCCATTCATTTTATAATGAGGCAGACAGACAGCTCATTACCCCTTTCCCCTTCCCCTTGTGCTGTTGGGAAAGTTCCTGAGCACCGCATGTACAGAGCACCCATACATACGTGTCGTAGACATTCAGCAGCCAGTTGAGGCACATGTCCACGCAGAGAGGAACGTTGACCAGGTTATTGTGCTCTTGTTCCAATCGATGGTAAATGGTGGTCAAGCAGTTAATGATCTGCAGAATATCCATCGACTGGTCGTTTTGTTTGAGGTTGTGCTGGTCCAAGGCATCACATGCAGCAGACAGACTCAGGAGATCCACTGTTAACATAAAATAAACCACAATAAAGACTGAAGAGAAACAGTGGTTGTATTACCCATACCCAAAAAGCAAACAGAACAATCTACTTGGCTTACATGCCTGGCCAGAGGACATTTTATGTCCTCTGAAAGTCACGTGCAAGACTGGTTTCAAGACTCCTGCAGGTGCACTGTTTATTCAGCTGTGGTCTTAGAGCGCAGTGTTTGTAAAAGTGAAATCTGTTTCATTTTTAGCTGTAAAGTACCTATTATGCTATTGGATCCTGTGGAAATACTACACATTAATTACTATGTAAGTAAAAGTTACATATTTCATGTTCTGTGTTCCTACAGATAGGCTAATATTTGACTACTGCATTCACCAAATGTGCTCTAAACATAGTACATGTCATCAGCTTTCCTGAGACGTGCTGTTCATTTCTTACAGAAGTCAAGCAATCTTAACCAAACCAAACTCCACAAGGAATATGCAAACAAATCACAAATGAACTGGGATTAACCTCTCTGCTACTTTTCCTCTGGTGAGAACAGGGAAAAGAAGGTTCCAGAAACATTAAATGGCCTATTTCAATATTTATTAATGAAATTTATCCATTTGTAATTCTGCAGAGCATTTACATTTATAAATACCTCTTTGACTTTACCGAGTAAGACACATTTAAACTTATCAGTCAACATACAACAGAGCTTTTTGTCACAGACATTTAAAACTTGATTTTTGTTCCACCTTAAGTCGGTTGCATTTTGAAATTCGGATGTCCAAGGCAAAACAGAACTTCCCTTTCTCAGCTCTTAGTCTCTGCATACTAACATCAACAGCAGCATCACGCTTTGGGGGACACCAAAACAGAGAGTTATGGTATGTTGGTTTACAAAGTAAAACAGGAATAAGAACAAAAGAAATCAGAAAAATGAGACTATTGATGCAGATCTTCCTGCTGCCAGAGGAAAATCCTTTGTAATTCCTTGCAGCCAATTTCCAGGGTGTGAGCAATGGCACTATTAAAGCCCAGATGCTGTTAGTCCCGCTCACACCACGCGCAGTCACAAAGTGCAGCAGGATTCAACATGGCTCGAGGGAGCAGGATCTGGCCCAAAGCAGACTGCCCAAAATCATCCAGGAAATTAATCACAAAATTGGGAAATGAACTGACCCAACTGCAAGACCATTTTTTCTCTCATTGGAATAAAAATGTGTTTTATTGAGTCCTGGTAAGCAACATCTCTCAGTAATGTCAAAAAAAAAAAAAAAAAAAAAAAATGCACAGAGGCTAAATGCAGAACCCCATACAGGAATTTAAGAACTTCATGCAACTTAAGGGCACATCTGCCAAATTCACACTCAAGTATCATATTTTATCAAGGATGAAGCTGACCCTTTTATGTCCTAGTGGAGTTGAAAAATACTTTAGCTGCACACTGGGCTGCTTGGTAATGCTGCACGGACAGTACACTGGGATTTCATAATTGCCAAAAGAATTTCAGGAGTATAAATTTCATTGGAAATCAATAGGGACTTCTGCTACTAAATCCCTTAAGCGCTTCTGAAAAATTCATCCTGTGGGCCTGACATACCCAGTGCTAGAGTGAATAAGGAAAGCTTGGAATGCTATCCCCATTATAATACCAAGAAATTTAACTTCAAATCTGTGGTTTAGTGCAAGGTTTTATTGGAATTTTACTTTTTTCACATTAGCATATAGATATTTATTAACAGAAAATCTTTTGGAATATTATGTTTAACCTACTAGCATATAAAAATAGAGCTATTCTAAGGTCAGTGTTATATCCCACAAAAGCGTATTTATCAGACCCATTCTTAAGAGTCTCAGAAAGACGCCTTTCTTCTAATAATTTATTAGTTAAATTGGAAATAAAGCACGGCCTTCACAACACCTTTAACTCTGAGCTTTAGGCTGAACTCTCGGTTCCTTTGAGACTATGAATCAATGGTAATTAAATGAACCCCTCAGGCATCTGAGTGGCAGCTTAATTATATATGCAGCTACTGCTAAACATGGGTCATTCCACTTTGTGAGAGCTTTTCCCACTAATAAGCAGCAACTTCTGAAAAAGCCTTTCACCCCGCTCTTCATCAACCTCCTGTCCTATCTTGAAGTTAATAACACATTTTCATCTTATAACAAGCAAAAAGTGCTTGCCACCATGCTCTTCTTTAGGGAACCTCCTTTTAAGGGAAAAAGAGTGGCTCCGGCCTTTGCCACATTAAGCTCCTCCTGCATCTTTCCCACCAAGATTAAAGAAATGGCGGGGAATCACCTCTCCCAGAACCAGGAATTGCTTATTTCTTTCCTGAAAGCAAATATGGAAGTCCCACAAATGACAAACTTTCAAAAGGCAAGCCCCAACCAGTCAGATAGGTATTGAAGAGTTCTACATTCACTGCCATTCAGTGATTTGCAAAGCTTCAATTGAAATAAACCATACCACTTCATGCTTTGTACTTTTGGTGGGTTCTCTGTCACACTTTTGTTCTTTTCTATTTAAAATTCCAAAACTGACTCAAAAATTTGTGTGAGCAGTAGCTTCTAGCTTATTTTGAAATCTAAGTCATCTATATAGATATTTCTTTGGCCTCTAAGGCAAGAGAAAAAAACATCAGGATGTTTGTAACTAGACACCAACTTGTGGCCAGATTGCAGGAAAAGTACAAAAGACAACCTGGAATAACTAACCCAACTGGAGAACAGAAATGACAATTAATGGGCAGGAGAAAGTATGCTGTGGAGGTCACATACTGAACTTGGGGAAAACTCAACATATGGCTGGTGATAAAAAGTATCAATGGTATTCCCAGAATGAAAGATCATCTCCTCCGTAACCTGCTGCTGTTGGCTGATACATTAAAAACAATATATATATTTAATCTAGCCTGTATACAATTAAAGGAAAAAAGCACCCTAACAGAAGTTCTTGAATATTTTCTTTTGCTGCATCTTCAAGAAAAGTTTGTGAATACATCTCATTTTATTGACATCACAATGCTCAGATGTGGTTTGCGCTTGAAGATCAGATCTTTGAAAAGTAGCAAAACGAGAAAGTCAACATGCTTTGATGTGATTATCAAAGGAAACCATACGGTTTACAAAAACGGTGCAATAGTTACACCTGGCATGCCCACAACAATTTTGAAGGTTGGGATGACAGAGCCACACACTAGATTCTTCTAAAGTAACACAATATACAAGCATTTATTTGTTAAGGATTACCATTTTCCATATTCTTTAGATTTAATGTCCTGGCATCTAATGTTCATTGGGCTGATTTACAAACTGAAAAGAAGTCAGTCTTAGAATAGCTCATTTTTAAAAGTGTTTCTTGCCACTGAGAAATAGGCTGTACCTTTACTTCTGTGGACCTTCTATTGTGCACACATCTTTAGAGTGCTCCTCAGTAGACAAAACTGCTCCGCTTTTTATGAAGTTTGCAGAAAAGAATATAAATATATATATATATGTATTTAAACTCCTACAGTTTTAAAACTGAAGTACAAAGTAAGAGCTGAAAGCAGCACCTACTGCAAGTGGAATTTAGGGATTTGTGGCTATGCGTAGGAGCCCTGAAACCTACCACTGTTCTCTATTTCTATTAGTGGCAAACTGCAGAAAAAGAATTTTGTAATGAGCTGGGGTTTTTTTAAAAAAAATCTAATTAAACTGAGTTCACAAGCGACACTGAAATCATGGAATACACAAATACAATGATGGTGTCTCCAAGCAAAAAATATTTAGAAGAACAAAGACTGCTAACCAAATTCCTTAAATACTTCTCCTTAGATACAAGTATGAAGAATGTGCTAAAGTAATCAGTATAAGTGCCACTGCATGTCTCTGAAAACATCCATTCTCAGAAAATCTACCTAAGTGTAACCTCAAGAGATGAACTGACTTCAGTGCATAATTACAATTCCACACTGTAAGGTCCAAGAAGAGTCTAGAATTATTCAGTGGTAGGAATCACGGTAACACAGATAAAATAGGATGCAAAGTTTTGCACTTTCAGCCATAAAAACCTGTCATAAGTTACACTTGTGCACTGCTGGCTAAAGAAACCTGTAATTCCAAAAATTTTAGTTCCTTACTTCAGTGCTGCACTGATTATGAATACCTTTCACTGCATATCACTCCAGTTTCTTTACACTACCTTTCCACAATGATTGCGGCAGGAGTGCTGTGCCATGGAAAGACGTTTGTATTTCTGATCATCATAATACATTCTTTGTTACTGCTGTTACTGTCATTCACGTTGAAATCTTTTATTATGTTACAAGACTTCTCACTTATTATTTATGTTTTTCTTTTTTTCCTTTTTCTTTTCTATTTTTTTAAAAAATTCAGAAATTAAGTCTGTTCATTAGTGGAATTCACCCATGCTTGTAAGCCTAAAAGTAAACATGCTCAAAAATACCAACATTTGACACGGTTCCAGAAAGCATGTGAGCACAAATCCAAACTTGAGATAAATCAACAGTTGAGACATTTGCAACTGTGTCAGAAATTTAACCCTGTAATTAAATGCCGAATAGTGAATGTTAAAATATTTTAATAACCCTCCAAATTGTACCACCTAATAAAGTGCTTGCTTTGGCAACTGATTGGCCTACCAAGAAAACTATGAGCAAATTATTTAGCTCTCAGGTTACAGTAAGCTGAAGAGCAAATGCAACTCCAGTGACAGGTAGAATACCATACACCAGTTGAGAGAATTAAAGTGTTAGAACATGCACATCACTAATGTATGGCTGATGAGAGACTTCTGAACATAACCAAAAGCTGGGGAAAAATGAAGCTAAATGTTTATTGTGATGATCTCGTTTAAAGGCAACAACCCCTCAAGGTTCAAGATTCAACTTAACAAACCATTAGCAACTCCAGCTCTGGAGTGATTATTTCACCCAGCTCTCACTGTTCCCAATACACTACAATCCTGTTTGTTTGGTCTTGAGCTGTAAAGCTGTGGCTGACACAGGATGTGGCTCCGGTAATGAGCACAGTGAAAATACCCATCTCAAGAGTATAAAGATAAGAAATACGTAGAGGATGTTAGTTTTGTTTCTGATCCGCTGCTCTGTCTTACAAGGGACAGCTCCGCAGACCACCCAGCACTTTGATTTCTTAAGGAACGTGCGAAGTGGTGGCAGCAGAAGACCTTCAGGTGAGAGGTTTCCATGCACCAGCTAAAGCTGGGGGAGTGTGGGGCTGTTTTTTTGCTTCCGAAAGTTGCGAATAAACTTGTGCATCGGTCATAAAGCCTTCCTGGCAGCGGGTGAGGCACAGGCACATACTTACGGCAGAGGGCTTTCTGCAGCCTGCGGAGTTTCATGGCAGTCCTGTATGCCGAGAACCTGACGTTGTTCAGGTCAGCTGTAGGGGGGAAATATTAAAATAAAAGATCAGCTTTACACCTTAGAAATAACCAGACTCATGAAGACGTGGTTAAGTTGGACTAGAAGATTATACTCATTGGTTACAAGAACGGAGGGGGGGAAAAAAAAGTACGTTACAAACTCTACTTCGCTTGAGCAAAAGCCCTCAAACCTCAACAATCAATCATCCAAAAGAAAAACGCTAAGTCCTAAAGCGTTACTTCCTTTTGCTCAAAGGCACTGAACTTCACAGCACTTGAAAGGACAACATCAGTGACTGCAGCAGCGTTGTCTGAAAACACCGAAGCCTTTCACACCGCAGGCACTGTGAGAGAGATAAGAGCCTGAAACTCCTCCTTGTCTGCCCAATGCACCAGCCGGGCTGCGTGCAGGCAGCCCCGAGAGAAGAGCTCTGCCCAGGAAAAAGCAGGCGACTCTCAGCTACTGCTAAAAAAAAACCTTTAAGGGGGAAAAAAAAAAAAAAAAATTATACTTTTGCGCTTTTCCACCCAAGCAGATCCCAGCCATGCCCCGAGACTAGAGCCTTCCTGGCAAGAAGCCAGCTCACCCAGCCAGGTGAGCACCAGGTTCCCACCTCCAAAAGAGCAGGGAGCTGCTGGGCTCCGGGAGCATGGCGAGGAACGGCACCCAGCTAGGAACAAACGGCGTGGTGTCATTTTTGCTAGAGCCTTCCCGTGCGGTTAACAAAAAAAAAAAAAAAAAAAATCAGGACATCAGCACAAGTCCCCACCGACTAGTTTAACCATGGCTTGCAAAAACCTCAAGGGACGCCGCAGGGACGAGGTGGGCCACATACGAAACCAGTCACACCTCACCAGAACTTACACAAGCCTCTCAGCACTCGGGAGGCTCAGCACCGGCTGCCTGAGCGTTATTCAGCACCAAATTCTGATTATCACCACAGCAAGCCACAGCAACTGCTCTGTCATCTAAGAAGCAACACTAGACAAAACTGAAAAGAAAGGAGGGGTTGTCTTGAACCAAATCTGGCCAGGAAATTGCATTTGCATCTTTCTCTTCTGTGAAAACAGACTGAGGAAGATAACGCTTATTCTAATCGTGTCCCTGGCTTTGCTGAGGGTGGCCTTGGGCAAACCCGATTTACAAGAATGAAGATAAAATTCACTGAAAGTGAGGTCGAAACTACTGTGGCTGAATTCCTGCCATCAGTACCAGTACATCGGCTAACTCGTAATTTACAGCTAAATTTGGCATACCAAGACTACAGTGCAGACACACCACCGCTTGCATTATTCAGAATCAAACTCAGGATGCAGAAGTGAGTGCGCAACTCTGGCAAAGGGCTGCTGTTTATGCGAATAGGTCAACAGATACCCAAGCTAACTGCGTGCAGCTGCAAGCTGGGACCTTCATCAAAGAGAAGCCAGGTAAGCCATCAAGGTTGCTGATTTGGGGCCGAGTCCACGGACGGATGCTGTTTCCCAAGCGGCATTGCCAGCTCCTCCCGGGGATGCTGCACTGGGAACTGCAGAGTGGCGGGAGGACACACTCGTGTGCTACAGCACGCTCACCCCCACCGCTGAAAAACCAGGCTGCGGCTGGCGTGCTTCTGGCCCCGTCACCCACCCAGCTAACTCCTGGGCACGGGCACTCCTGGGCATTTGAGCGGTCTAGGGACCTTTCCCAACAGATCCATTGCCATCTTGTAATTTGAGGGTTTTCTAGCACAGAAATGGACTGTGTGCGCCAGCCAGTTTCAGCACCCGGGAACACTCGGGTGTTTAATTTACTGATGAAACCCATGGGGCCTAAGGAGTTAATGATGGGAAAGTGCTTGGAAAATGTAAACTACTATTTAAATACAAAAAGAACACTAAAAAAAAAATATACACTGGCTCAGAATAGAGGTCCATTTAGCCCAATAAACTGCCTAAGCCTGGCAGACTGTTAGAGAAAGAATATGATGAAAAACAGGGCAAATGCCAAACAGTTCCTTGCTGGCATATGCGCTGAGGTGCTATAAAGCTGTTTGCAATGTGGTAGCTTGGCTACAACTATCCCAACATCATTTACAATGCTGTACAGGTACAGGTAGCAGAGGGAATACAGTCTCAATTACATTAATTTTAATTAAGCTGTTCTGAATGACTAATTTGAGGTTTGAAAATTCAGTAGTTTTGTATACCTCAATAAAAGCTGTGGAACGTTTCTAAAACACATCTTACAGCAGAAGGGAAAGTTTCAGCTTTGTATATAATTTCCTTTGCACGCTTCCATCCACATTTTTAACGGGCAGTTCTCCTGTGTATTGTTCCTGCCAGCTCCCTCTCTCACAATCATCCTGACAGGTCCAGAAGCCTTAATGTGGTGTGAATACAGTGAGCAATTTAAATAAAGTGACTTAATTTGTCTTGAAGGGAAATTAATAAAGCAGTCTCTCGCAAATACACTGTGACTTCAGTTACATTTTGTGCTCTTGTTGTAAATCTGCACTTGTATTCTGGAAAAGAATATACACTAGATTATGGCTAGCATTTGATACAATGAAGAAGCCTTCCCTCAATTTTCCCCGAGTATTCTGAAAAAGGCTTCTCTACTTCTTATTTACATTTTAAGAAATATTAGTAAATATACATGCATATTTCAGGCATTGATCAGGGCAGAAAGTACAATCCGTGAAGACACTTGATCCTGAAAGTACTGTAGTTTATATCTAATTTCCTGTATATGTAATACACACTGAATTTGTTATCAACCTTAATGACACTGCTGCCAAGAAGCATCTGCTGCAAATGATCAACAAGCAACGTCAGGAGCTACTTTCGGAGCCCTCATCTCAGGTTTTGGGAAAGTAGCAGCAATGTCTGCTTTTGGCTCTACACGCTGAGGCCAAGCGTAGCTGTTGCACGCCTCCGCTCCCCACCTTCGCTGCTGTTATCGGCGTTAGCCCATGCCCAGTTACCGTCCCCGTGCCAACTGCTCACCTCCCGTCTTCCTTATGCCACCACCTCCACGCGCCGTGGGACGGCTCTCTTACCGGGTGGTGACAGTCATTTGAGGGCGCTGGATCTTAACGATGTAGCTTTTCCCTCCCCAGCCTACTCTTACGAAACTGCCGGTGATGCCTGTCTTCCCCCGGAGCTACTGCTGGAACAAACGCGTCGCTCCGCGGAGCAACGAGGGGAGCCCAGGCCTCTCCTAACTGGGTTCAAAAGGTTTCCCTTGCTGGTATATGACCCCGTTTAAATGAACTGTAGAACGTAAGACTGTCAGGGAATGAGACTTGTTGGCTGGGCTCGGGAGCATTGGAGGTAACATCACCGCTGACGGCAAGGGAGGAGGCTTGGAGAGAGGCAACGTAAGGTGCCACAAGCCAGCCGCTACTGCTGGAAACCCGCGGAGGGAGGAAGGAGGCTCAAGAGGCAGCAACCTTCTGAGGGCCTATGGAATCACCAGCAGTTCCTCCTTCCCTGGTTTTTTTTTTTTTTTTTTTTTTCCCCCCTTCCTGGGTCCTGTCGGAAAAAATGTGATGCTTGCTCCGCTCCCAAACAGCCCACGAAAGAAGTCAGGGCCCACCAAGCCTTGACACCAAAGCTTTTATCATCTCTGAGCGGGTTGGAGAGCTCAGTATACCACGCATGCTTTCCTCCAGCCCTTTCCTCCCACTCCAAAAATTATGCACCACCTCATCATCTGAATGAGGCGGTCAGAGGGCTGAAAAGCCCTTGGAGTATATAAGACTTTTGCAGGTTGTTTAATGATACTCCCAGTCCCTGTTCAGAAGGTAACTTTCAAGCTTTGATTAAAAAGTGTAAATGCTCACGAGCATCATCTGTTTATGGTCTGAAATAATGATGTAATGGAAGAGGTCACCTGGCCCCTGGAAAGCAACAGACTGAGGAAAAGATCACATGGGAGTATTTGGTGACACTCATATTTACATCCCAGAGCAAAGAAAAATCATGGTTCTCCCGTCACTCAGCCATGAACCACCTCTCTGTGCAAGGGAGTGCAAGTGCTTCTAGGGGAAAAGATTTAAGATCGCCTTACAGAAGACCCGTAAGACGGGGCAGGTGCCTACAGCTGATGCCTTTGCAGCAATGAGCAATTCCCACCAACACAGCAGTAAGATCTCTCTGTGATCTTCCTAGGCTTCTCCCGCAGCCCTCCCACTGTCACGGTGAAAGGAATTCAAAGTGCTAAAGCATCAGTGACTCTCAGAAATTAGGAAATCTCCTTTCGTTGCTTTCTTCTTTTCATTATAGACATGACAAGCATCTCCCTTTGCTTCATGGCAACTAATGAGTAGGGAGAAGGTTATCTAGAAAAGTGATTTCCTCCATGTCCATCATGTGCCTACAACATATGAACATGTTCACATTTATATTCTTATATTCATTCGTATTAATATGAACAATGTTGAACAAGAACTAGTGCTTTTATTACACATGCAGCTTTAATGAAGAGAACTCCACACTGCTGACAGGAAGAACTCAAAACAGAAATATTATAGAAAGATGATCAGATAATTAAATCCTAACCTCTTCTGCATAATGCTGTGTGTTGAGAGAAATCTCAAAACGTAAGGTCTATGTTCTTCCTCAAAAGACCTAAGACAACCTCATCAACACATTTTTTGTGTTGTATGTCTACAGTATTGTAGAAATAGCTGTAATTACACACAGCAGATCCTTTTGACAGTGGATAATCAGGTAAAAAAACCCACTCATTTAAGAAGTGGTCAGTGATTTGTACCAAAAATTCAAACCACCTGTTGGAATGTGCCACTGACTACTGACACAGCATCAACAAGTAAGACGTAGATTTTTTTTTTTTTTTAAAACCCTCCCGTGCTAAATTCCAGATTTTACATTGGGAAAGGAAAAACAGATCCTTGAGTCTTACTGCATAAAATAAGTTGGTAAGCAACTAAAAGCAATAAAAAATTAAAGATGAACAAGAAGTTTTTAAAAAGAAAATATTTAACAAGAGGTTTAGCATCCAGCATGGAGGGAC